TGTTTCTTTTCCAGGATGACGTCACCCAAGATGACTTGGATAATAGCGCGTTGTGACAAACACCAGATACAGCACTGGGACTTGATCAACAGCCGATACCGCACCGTGACGTCACTAACCAGTAGGTGGCAGTAGTGTTCTTTGACAAACATGGATGCCTCCAATAAAGCACATTCACATGAAAATTACTCTGAATTAAAAACACAGATCATTTATTGAACAGCATGGAATAATTTCATATTTAAAGGACTTTCAGAAGTTTGAATTCTGAATATGACTGAACTTTTCCTTTAACAACCACCTCCCCATCAGAAATCGTAAGGTCGAAAAAAAATAAAACGTTTGATATTCAGTCGTCCCTCATGAGGTGCTGGTGGGTAAATCCTGCTGCTGAAGCTGAGCTACGAGCCGATTTACCAGAACCTAGCTAACTGCGTGTGTGTCAACAAAGCAGCTCTTCCTCTTCTTCTTCCACATTGAGTCCCAGCAGCGCCATCTCACTGCAGAGCTGAGTCCCACCTGGTTTTTAGACGTAAAGTGTGAGCAGGTAGATCGCATCAGAGCGTCGGGTCGCACAGTGAGAACAAATGTGGTGAGCTGGGAAATTTTAAACCCTGTGTTTCCCTCATGCAGTTTGAACTGTAGCTGCGTGAAACGATTGAAAGTATCTTACAGTGTACGCCCGGCCTAAAGCGACTGAACAAAATATGAATAACTGTTGCGTTCAGGAACCTTGGGAACCAGAAACATCTTTAAAACTTAACCCATGTTCCTGCTGCACTCTATGGCCCTTATTTAGCCCCGTAGCTCTGTTCTGTTTCCTCATGCCTTTTTATGTATTTATTTTTTCTTCACTGGCTTTTATTCTGCTTTCTTGTGGTCCAATTGTTTTATTTGTTTTATTATTTTTCTAATTTTTCTATTATCTAATTTATGTAAAGCACTTTCAATTGTACTGAATCTACTGAATTGTGCTATAAAAATAAAATAGGCTTGCTCTGATCCAGGAACCTTTGCTGAAGGTTCCTGGTTCTGGTTCATGTTCTGCTGCAGCCTGTGTCACAGTGGTTCTGGTTCCGTGGCGGCTCTGGTTCCGTGGCGGCTCTGGTTCAGTGGCGGCTCTGGTTCCGTGGCGGCTCTGGTAACGTGGTGGTCGTGTTATTTTCTTTCCCCTCCAGGAGGAGGCGTGGTGGCCTTTCGACGTGTCGTGTCAGACGGTTCTTCTCTTCATGCTGTGGCCGTTCGTCGCACAGGGTCTGGTCTACCTGCTGAGGAAGGCCCACCAGAGGAGCCGCACGTTGTCATGACAAAGCCCCCCCTCCCCCAGATGGACATAGGAAGAAGTTTTTGCTCCCCAAACTTCCCAGCATCTGATTGAAGCTCCTTTCTTCAGACGAAGAACTTCCTGTGATTTATCGTTTTAATAAAGTGAAATAAAATCTCTGAGGGTTAAATAAACGCCTCTTCAGTTTTTACCCAACATTCTGCTGACCAGGTCTGAATCAACCTCTGCTTGATGGGGTCCAGCTGAGGCCGCTGTGACCAGATTAAGACCGACAGACGGTGGGATTATTCCGCCCTAATCCCTGAAGGCTTGTTTAGACTCCTGACTAATGAAAATGATTCCTGCTCTTTGACTATTAAAGTCTCTCCTATCAGCAGTGGGACCTAAAGGGGATTTTCCTCCATTATTGTTGCAGCAAAGAACAAGGTTTTTTTTACGGAAATTTAGATTTTATGAATTGAACTCTTATTAAATAATTTTCCTGATATTCTCTTCACTTTAAGCTCAAGGCAATAAAAAAAGAATGCATTTCATTAAACTCGTTCTGAAAAGTGGAAAATAAATCTTGACAAAATAGGGAAAGTATTTTCACAAAACTTTTTTTTTTGTATTAAGAAAATTTTCATGTATAGATTTTTTTGCATTTCCAAAGCGTTCTCGGCAACAGTAACAGGGAAAAATGCACTTTATAAACATTAAAGACGTTAAAAAACAGTTTAGCTAATGAAATGAGGTGAGCTGCTACTTTTATTCAAAGTAATCTTAATTAACAGAGTAAATATTTGAATTCAACAATCTGCCAAAAAGCATCTTAAAAGTTTGTTTCTGGTCACAGAACGCGGGTTTGGAAGTTTTTCCCCCTGAGATTGACCAATCCGCTTCACCCGAAATGAATCATGGCGGATTAGCGAATGGCGGATGCGCTAAAATAAAGGCAGCGAATAAAAAGGCTGAATTTAATAAACTAATTAGAACTTTGATGTTTCCCATTTTAATGATTTTAATCCAGATTCAGATCAGTTTGGTTTATTTGATCGTTTAGGACTTTAAACTCTATCCTCTAATATTATTAAAAGCAAAGAACACATTTCTAACCGGTTTGGAGAGTCATTTATCTGAATATTTTATAGTTTCCTGTTTGGGTTTAATATTTAAATAGTTTTATTTTTTTACAGATACTGATGGAATAACAAATGACTTCTTTTCAGTTTCACAGATTTGAAAGTTTTGATCTCATGTTTTTGTTTGATTATCTCAGTTTGAAACTTCCTTTTTTGAACTTAACTGAGTTCTAAATTCCAGATAGAAACCTCTTACCAAAAAATACAACAAGTAAAATCCTAAAATTTAATACATTTAATCTGGAAAAAAAAGAAAAAAGTTATTTTTACATGTTTTTCTATTTTAAATGTTTTTTCTTTCAACTTCCTTTTTTGAATTTTGTTATTTGGTTTCAGTAATATTCGAACAAATAGTAGAAAAGAATAAAACATTAGTAAAACTATTCATTACAAAAAAAAAAAAAATTGGAAAATCAAACCTGCAATAATGTCAAACTGAAAATACTGGTTAAACGTTTTACTTTCAAAACTTGATTAAATTTATTTTAAAACCCATTTTCTTTAAATTTCCATTTTTGAAACATGTTCTTCTCTTTCAACAACATTGAATAAATCTCTCTCATCCTTCGGGAGCGTTTTCAACCCTTTACCTTCCGTCTTGCCGTACGCTGAGATGTTCTGCCTCTCCTGCCGTCAGGAGGGCAAAGAACCAGGAAGATGAAGCAGTTATGTTGAAGAAAATGTCTTTCCTTCTGTTTGGTTGCATTACTTCAGATTTTCAGTTGCTGGAAATGATTTCCTTTAATAAATTCTCATCCCAGAAACAAGCTTCAATTACAACAAATGAACAAATTATTGCCAAACAAATAATTTAATAAATTATATTTGTATATTCAAAAGGTTACAAAGGATTTTATACAACAGTTACAAAATAGGTTTGTGCAGGATGAAACTCAGACACCAGATATTGAAAGGACACAGAGATGCAGTCGGTTCAGCTCCATTTGGTTTTTGGAAAACCAGAGTTTCAAAGTGGAAGTCTGAAACTTCCATGTTGGAACGGTTGGCTTTAAACTGGTCTGACTGTTGGCTTTAAACTGGTCTGACTGTTGGCTTTAAACTGG